ATAACACTTGTCAAAACTTTAGCTCCCTTTGTGTTGATAGTCAGGCTGCCCGTAGTGCTGGTCGCTTTGTGTGTGTGTGATGTTCTGGGACATCCTCAGTGGGCTGTAGAGGTCTAACTGAAACTGCAGTTTTCTGTCTTGCAATATTGCTTTGTTACAACTTCATAGTTGCTCTTCTCTTCTCTTCTGTTTAATCTTAGTTTCACCTCTAGAGTGTTGGTTTATTGCTAGTCTAGTTGCGTGTGGTGTTTCCATAGTCCATAGGTTCGAAAGCTGCCAGGAGTGAAACAACCACTTGCTTCCTATTGTTATTTGACAATCTGTCTTGCATCATCAGTGGATAATAAGTTTGTGTCAAGATGAGACACTAATTCCATAACAGTAATTGAATCAAACATGTAATTTATCATGTGCCAGAATTTTCATATGGGAGACAGTTGCTTCCTGAAATTAGAAACTGTTGGAAATGTTAACTAAACGGGAAAACATTGACATTTTGGATTGTAACAATGTACCTTTTTTTAGTTGTGTTCGTAAATCTTGTACAGGCAGCATAAGTAAAGCAGAAGTTTTCTGTAATTATCTTTCTGGGAATGTTTTGCTTGTGGAGGCCTCAGCAGTTGTAGAGTTGCTTTTTCCTGTTTCGTCGAAACTCCTACTACTTGGGGCTATTACTCTTGGGGGATCGGCCCACAACTTCCTTTTTGCAGTTGAAAATATGCCTCAAATGTCCTGCATTTTGATTTTTAGTGTAGACTTAACACTTGATTTAAGTAGCGATAGAGCTTTTAAGAGCTGCAATTCACATTTGTACTTCACTATCATACACTAAAATCTTTTCAGTTCTGCCAAAAATTACAGCAGACTTCATACAATTTGCACCTCTCACTGAGCTATAGGTGCAGTCACTTCAGAACCACTAGATTTGTAGGTGGCTTGTCCATAATAATTTTAAATAATTAATTTGAAATAGCATTCAGAATACTGATTCTGAAAAGCAGCATTAATCCTGTAGAACTCTAGGGTACTTTTTTTATTGGAGGGTTTTGTAATTGGAGATTCAAACTTAAATTTTTTAAGTTTGAACACTTTGTCAATAAACTGAGGGGGCAGTATTCCTTTTAAAATAGATAGGACAGAGGTGATTGTTGGACTCGGAAGTCACAGGTACTTTCTCAGTTCTAAGTCTGTCTTCTACAGTTTTTTTGAGGGGGCTGAAATAGCTTAAAGTTTTTAATTGGTACATAATGAAAGATGCTAACTGACATGCAGAGGGTTTTCTCTCTCTTGTTTTTTTTTTTTTTTTCCCCCCTTCTCTCCCAGAAAATGCTGAATTGGCTTATCTGGGGCTGATGCTCCTAAATTGCTTTTACTCTATTAAAAAGCTTCCTCATCTGTCTTCATGGCACTGATATGCATACAAAAACTTTTGAGTATTGTTTACTTTCTAACTCATCTTTGAACGTGCTAGCAATATAAGAGTTGGTGCTAACTTCGGGGGCATAATTCAAAAGCAGGGAAAGATATCTCAAATACCTCCCATCTTTAAACAGGCACTGCTTTTTAGAATTATACTTTCTTTCTTAAATAATTCCACTGCTGCACTGCCCTGGTACAGTGCTGCTCATAACCACATTCTAGAGGCCTGCTATCAATGTGTGTTTGTAGCAGTAGGTGATATCAAATTCTTTTAGCCCACGTCCCATCTCTGACGGTAGTCAATAGTGGATGTCTACCAAAGAGCCTAAAACTGAGCAAATATGTAGTGATAGATCTCTGGAACAGTTTCTCAGGGTCTCAAACGTTTTTTGGCTGAGAAGAAGGTCTGAGCTTATGTAATACAGTAATTACAATGTGAAGTTCTCCTTTATTTTGGTGTTCCTAGCATGCAAGTTTATGGTAGGGGGAAGACCAGTTTGTTCCCCCCAAAAAGTCTAGAGTCGTCAAAAGTAGAATGTTATATTTCTGTATCAAATGTCCTTTTCATGTTAAAGGTAAAATGGTGAGATCATCTTTGTTGTTTTTTACCTTGCATACCTGTCCATCTTTGCACTGTGTGTAAGAATGTGTACATTTCTTTTGTAGCCACGTCATGAATACTTTAATGTCCCAGTGTACTAAATGACTTCCTTCATCATGCATGCAGAATTTCAGAGGAGATAGACCTGTGACTTACTCATGGCAGAACATTATCCTCAGCTTGGTGAATCCAATCATCTTGAATCCAATATAATATCACAACCATTCTGTGCTGCTGTACTTTCCTCTTCCCCCTCTGTTTTACAGTGTTGTCTCTTCACATGTCTCATCTCAACAAAACTTGTTCTTGTTGGCGTATGGTTTAACTTTTTTATTGTGTGCAAGTTTCAAGTCTTGTGTTTAAAAGTTCTATAGAATTTTCTAAGCTAAACATCTAGATATTGCAACATTTATACTGTAACATTACTTGACCTGTATTTAACTTTTAAATAAGTTGTGTTGGTATTTAAACATATGGTTAACCTGTAGACTAAATTAATATTTAAAGAGAAACTAATGATCTAAAGTAACAGCACTGTGGAGTGTGTGTGTATATACACAAGTATTAAATGAAGTTACACATAATTCTACATAGACCCTGCATCTTAAGTGCAGAGATGCACGTACCAGTATCCTTTTCTGACACTGACACAGTAGTGTGACCTACCTTGCAAAGAGGAGGAAGACAGAATTGGTTAGGGCAGAGAAAATGACTGATGTAGATCTGCAAGTTTCAACATTTGTATTTAAATGTTGAAAACTACTCACTGGTGTGAGTAGTTGAACAGTTTGTACTACTGAAAGAGAGGACAAGTTAATTGCTTTGCAAATGGTTAGAGCTGGAAATGTTCCTTATTCATTCCGTTGATAGCATATTTGAAATAATAGTCTCCTTTAACTGACATTTTCATTTTTAAGTGCAGAATAGCATGTACATGGAAGAGAACTGCCACACAGATAAATATTTTAATTGAAAGGTATTTATCATGGGTGTAGGCAGAGTGAGAGGGCATGTATTGCATCCTCTCTTTGCCTAGTAGAAGTGAATATTTTGTTACCTAAAACCGACTCACTTTTTGAAAATTATGTAAATGCAATTATCAAGGGGCTGGTTACTGAAACTAACCGCAAACAGCTAGTTCTGCGTTCTATATGTGGTAATGCACTACCTTTCAAATGTTGAACTGACCCAAAAAAGGGAGATTTAGGGGGTGAGATATTTGGATTAGACCTGCAGCATTCTGAAATCTTGTAGAAAACCAAGATGTTAGGAGTGGTTTTCCATTTCCAAGGTTGCTTTGTTTTTTGTAAGACATTAACAATGTTTGTGAATGTCTGGGTAATGCTGCTTCAGCCTGCATTATTTCATGCCTGTTGGCTTAAAATGCTGTGCGTTGAGCTGTAATGAGATGCTGTTTTTCTTGTTATCTGTATACAGCTGCTTGCTTCTAAATGACTAGGTAATGAATTAGCTTTCCTGGCATGTTTGAAATAAAGTATTGCATGCACTTTTGTCTCATGTGAATGGCTTTTTTCCTCATCTGTGTTCTGATATGTTTCAAATTTGCATTATTTGCCTTAGGTGACTCTGAGCTGCAGGTAGTGTATAATATTGCAAAATGTGTTCTGTAACAACTGGATAAAATGTGTTTGGCACTTCCTAAAACAAATAACATGAACAAAACATAATTCATTCTGTTTCTTAAAAGTCATAATTGATTAAATTATTCTAACAAAACACGTTAGTTTTTAGGTGTTCCTTTTGGGAATATATTGTTGATGTGCATGCAAGAAGGCATATCTGCTCAAGATTACTGCTGTAGTACTAGAAAATTAAAATACTGAGTTTTACTGGTGAGGTCTACCTATAGACAAGTAGCCAATGTCCTTCTAATACATTGCTTTAAACTCATTGCCAATGAATGTCTTTGATTTATTTGATGAAACTTAATCTTGATTTGAGCAGTATATCTGGCTGCAACTTTGAATAGGCAGTGGGGACAGTAATAATACTAAACTGCTCTGAAGATAGTAGCAGAAATCCTTGGTGTTTCTTCATATGTTCATGTGAATATCATATATATATTCACTGAACAACTTTTTTTTTTTTTTCAGCTAACTTAGCAAATAGCCATAGACATGTACAGTTACTCAGAGGTAAAATAGGATATCTAATCAATTTTAAACTTTAAAAAGTTGCATTTTATTACAAATATTTTCAAGATCTTAAAATTTTTGAGATGTCATATTCCATTTGTTTCATAACTGAGTTCTGTTACTATAGTTGGCTAAGAGTGCATTATTTTCTAAATGCTTACAGTTAGTGGATGCAGGGGAAGCACATAATCTAAAATGAATGCAGCTAAGTCATCTGAGAATGCTACATGTTATATTAAAAACTCTAGTCCCTCTTCAAGCAGTGTCACCTATTGGGTGATATGTTATAATACACATTAATGCCGGCCATACTGTTTTATGTTATCAAGGTCACTCCAGTTCTAAGAATGTTTAAATAATGCATCACTGAGAGAACACCACATTTTCAATACATCCAGTGTCTTGTTTCCAGTTTTTACTTGCCTTTTCTTGGAATTTCTTATTTGCTGATGGATTTTGGAAGCCCTTATTAATCTCAGGCTGCTAAGCACTGGTGTTTTCCAGGCACTGACATACTTTAAAATGAAGTTACCTTTAAAATATTTTTTTTTCTTTTAACACCACATCATCTTACACATGAATTGAATTAAATGAAGATTGTAAATTTGATCATTCTGTGCTACGTAAGTGAAGGTTGATAGAGACAACTTGATCTTCTGAACTTGTTTGCAAGATCTAAGGCTTTTAAGTATGTGTTTTACTGATAAATTAGCTTTCTTTTTTTTTAAAAAAGAGAAAAATTTAGAAAGCAGTTGAAAAATATTTTGTTTGCTGCTTTAATTGTTATCTGGCTTTTTCCTGCTTCATGACGTGTCTTGTTTTAGGATGCTAAAGTAAGTTCATTCCTACTCTGGATGCTAAAAGTGCTTATGTTTCCATAAAGACACAGTATCCCTTTTATTTATTATGTTATTGCTAATAATTATGGAAATGGGCAGCTTAATCTTTCTAATCAGACCATATTTTTTCAGATGCTGTAGGAATAATACAAAACTGATAATAACCCTTTTGGAGTTTTGTATAAAGCTACTTGCTCTGAATCTAAAAAAAGCTTTCTTTTTAAGGCTAGAATTAACCTCAAGCTTTATGCTGATGGAAGATAATACATTCCTAATTCTCACAATTCTTCCACTTTTGTAGTTGTCAGTTTATTGACCTCAATTAATTAAACAAGCACCATTGTACAAAATCTAGGGTTTATAAGGAGTTTAAGGGATACTGTATCTAAATTGCATCGGTCATTTCATTTATCCATTTATTCATTCGTAGCAGATTTTTGAAACCATGAAACAAGTTATCACAGAAAGCACTAACTGACTCCATTGCAAGATGCTTCCCCTTCCCTCCCCAATTCGAGCCTCTGTTACTGAGTTGTGATTTGTTCCCTGCTGGTATGTCTGAATTGCTTTCCTTTTATTATGCTTAAAGGCAATAAAATCTACTAGCTATTCCTGTGAACCATGACAATCTAATTAACAGCTCTTTGAAAAGTGCAGCTAATACCATGTTTGCAAACTGCAGTGCTTTTATGTTTTCATATTTTTGGCTTCTCATTTTTAATTAAGCATCTTCCATACTAACTCTCATGTACGATAATGTTCAGTGGGAGCACAGGATCCATTTACCACTATCTCACATTTTCCCTCCACAGGAAGCAGAGACCCCACGTAGTGTACTTGAAGAAATTGGATTGACATAGATCTTCTCGTCAGCTGATGGCATCTCAGTGTTTCATACTGTAAATGTTCACTGCCTTCATTGTAATGTTTAGCTAATGGTGTAAGATGCTGTTTGTCAGTATTACTGTTTTGCTAAGCTGCTTCATTCAGGCCTACAAGAAAAATAGTCCTTCAAAAAGGGAACAAATTTAAGTCCAAAAATCATAAATGAAAGGGAATTAAATTAAACATCTCTTTTCACTGCATTTATAGGATAATTGCATTTGACTTCAGTAAGTGTACTGTTTTTTATAAGCATACAACTTCAGGAACTAAATGCATCGTTATGACAGCATATCTAAATGAAGAGATTACATGGATAACATTAAATTTTAAAATGTTACAGTGTAGAACTTGTTTATGCAACCAAAGACTTCTGTTCATCTACATTTTAAGTCAACACTTGTGACAATTCTGCTTTATTTCAGTTGATATATAAAGATTGGAAATAACTGTTTACTACTGAATTTGCCATTATACCAAAGAATCCTGTTAGGATCTGCTTGTCAAACTGGTAAAAACTGTTAAGGTGACATCGCTTTTAGCAAGAAAACTGTAAACTGATCGTTCATGAGGAATTAAAGCGTATTTCAGTGTAATCATCTTTAGTAACTTCCACAGTTTTACTCTATGAGGAAGGGGAGGCATCCATTTAAAAAATAGTACCCTTCCACATAAGGAAATCTTTTTTAGATCTGATATTAGCTTACTCTGAACATAAACAGAAAAAGGGAACTAGCCTTTCTAACTGAACAGAGAGGTGCCAAATGAAAATGGAATAATTTTGAGAATGGAAAAGAGGGAGCCTTACAAAAGGGACTTCTCATGCTTTTATTTCAGACTCTAGAAGTTAATTTGTATTTATTGCTGTTTTATAGTTATGCTTTAATGGGTGTATGAGCACCTTTTAAAAAAAAAAACAAAACACTGAGTGATCAGCTTCATTTTGACTACTCTTCATGGCTTACTTCATTACTTACACCTTGTCCACAGGTGATATATCCCTTATGAAACTACCACTTGGTGTACAGCACAACCAACGAATTCATACTGAGAACTTTTAACAATTAGTCTTGTATACTAGAGTCTTAAACTGCAAATTGGGTAAAGAAGTATTAAGTTATATTTTGATACCTCGAGAGGCTTTCAGTGTATAATTAGTGAAAGTTTTTCACTTAAGGAAATTTCAGTAATGTATGCTTTTGAGTTTTGAGAAGGCAGTGCCACGCTTTGGGGTAGTAAAGTTCTACTGTGTGTACCTGTGGTCCCCTACAATGTGAGGGTATGCTTCCCTCTCTTCCTCTCCCTTCTCCCAATAATTTCACTGTAGAAGTCAATGTTTTGGCTTGTTCACTGTAGTATATAGTGTAACAGATGTAGGTCATATTTTCACAAAACTTAACTTTGGCATTGTTGCTGGAAGCAGTCATGCCCTGCTAGCACAAGCCTATTTATGCAGCCATGTGGCGTGCTAGACTGTAAATTTGACCTAGGTTAAAATTAACCCAGCAGAGAAGGGTTAATGTTGACACTTAGCAGTTTCCTGATCCAGATCACAGTATAAATGCTTGTGGCAGCAGAAGGGACAAGGCAGAGGCCAGGCTGTGGGGGCCTGAGCCTGACTGGGGTGATATTTGTCAGAGCCAGTGCCAGGGCAGGGCCTATAAACTTGCAGTTTTACAATTTTCATGTCTGGCCATGCCATTCCTGGGATTTAAACCTACCCGATTGCTAGAGATCATGTTTAACCTAAGGTACAAAAAAAAAAAAAAAAAAAAAGCAGTGTTTTGCATTTCTTCAATGTACTGTGTACAGGGATAGGTGAGGTTCAAGTGGTATTAGAATGACCCTATGTGTGATATTAAAATGGTTAAATTACCTTAATTTAAGTAAAACCTGAACCAATTTTTATATGTTAAACATGTTTTTAAAGTTTACATGTCACTTGTATGTGCTTGGCTGGATTAAGCTTTGTTGTGATTGTGACAAGCTGTTTGACCTCTGTCTTACTGTCACATTAGTTTAGTCATAATAAATGTCCATTTTTACACCATTGCTTTGTGTTTATATGCAATTAACTGATTTTTTTTTTGCAGAGGAAAGAAAAGGCTACTCAGTGCTAGCTTTAAAAAAAGAGGGAAATTTTATTAGTGCTTAACTTGCTCTTGAGCACTTCTTTATTAAAAAACTGTGTGATTATGCTGTGTCCAAGATTAGTTATTTACATCCATTTAAATTCTACAGAAAGCAATAAATTAGCAAGTTTTTGGAGGGCTTATCACATTAAACATGAAATTTATCAAAGTAGATGTTTAATTGATGTGGTAGTGCCAGTTTATTTGAAAATTAAAACAAACCACGTGTTGATTGAGAGTGTTTCCTGGATAATACAAGCGCGATATTCAGTTCCTTAAATGGAATTATGAACAAATCAATGCAGCATTCACAATCCTAGTTTGAACCAAAAATGTCTCTGATGAATCTATTCTCACACTTTCCAAAAGAACTGAACCGGTTGACACATTATCAGCACAAGCATAGGGAAAAGTTACCATCTTAGTGCATTTCTTGAATCTAATGGGAAATTAAAATTCTTTTGCTTAAATTTCTTATCTTACCTGAATCCCCCCCACCCCAGAAATTAAAGAATTAATTACAATTTCTAGATTGTTTAGTGAAGTGATTGTTGTTTTGAGTGTCTTCAGCTTCATCGTTGGCTCTTACAGTTCTTGTTAAGTTGAAGAGGCCCTTCCTAAGCATCTGCTGTTCAAGTTCTTAACGCTGTGATGATAGTCACCCTATGGCTGCCTTTGTTAGATTACCATGTTCAATGGGTTATGCTTGTAAGGGCTGCTTGCTTGTAAGGGCTGCTTTCTAATCAATCTCATGGTTTACTGAACTGTAATTTCTCAATGTCATCTCCAAATTTTTTTATAGCAGAGATGGATATTGCATCCAGCTAACTGAGACATCATCAGTGTTGAACAGAATGGTATGTGGAATAGTAGGGGACTTTTTTTTTTTTTCCCCTTTTAATTACAAAGAAATCACAAAGTTACTTACAAAGCAAATCAGCTGTGCTCTAAGTGACATGAGAAAGTAAATTAAGCTTTTAAGTTATTCACTAGCATAGACTTTCACATTTTGTAAGAACTGCTGGTCCAGGACAGGAACCAGTGTCATCTGTAGCAGGGTCTTACATGTCTTTTGAAAAATAGCACCCCCAACAATGATGCTACTGGTATAGGTTACTCACTGTTTTATTACAGGGTCATTTCTGATACACTGAATGTGGTAATGCAAAACTAAATCTGAGAAAGACTTCTTATTGAAGGAGATAGATAGATAAAGCTGGAAAGTTATTTAGGATGTGTTTCAGACTGTCCCCATCTATAAGCAGAGGAAAGGCCTTTTCACATGTGCCTGCTCCCTCTCAGTAAAAGGGAGGCTTGCATTCAACATGTGAACGTAGACTAACCCTTCTGCCACAGGTGCAAGGGTAGCCACCTGCTCTGGGCACGTACAGCTGGCACTGAGGAAATCATATGGAAGCAGCCTCCAGCGTGAACTCAAGGGCAACACTATTAATGGGGGTGTAAGCCTGCCCCCCCCCCCACCTAAAGGTTGCAGGGCAGTAACACTTTCTGTGTTTATGAAGTATGGTACAGTTACAGCTGTGCCTAGCATGCTGTCTTTATTCCCTTTCTGCTCTTGGAAAACTGCTATCCTACTGTCAGGCTTGAGCACACACTGTACCTTCCGCAGGCCATGGTACGGACAGCTCTTACTCTCCATTCTGATGCTGCCTTTCAGGGATGTCTAGTCAAAACCATCTGTCCTGCAGGCCCTGTTGCCAAGTGCCCCACTGCTGCCCCAACCAACTTCTTGCAGCTCTGTGTCAATACCTGCCTTTATAAGCAAGCTGAAGCACCTAAATGAGCCTCTAACTGACCCTACAGAACTTATAATTAAAAAAAAAAAAAAAAAAGAAAAACAACGGCTTTGACAAGCATTTAAAAAAAAAAAAAAAAAGGAAAGCCACTGCTTTGAGCAGTCATTGAGAAAAACAAACTTGGCCAATTCATTTTATAAGGTCCATTTATGCAGAATAACCCACAGTGCAAACAAGCTATTCCTTGCAAATTTGAATCCTTTCTGTGTTCTTCTGGGGCTTTTCCCCTTTGGAAAAAAGAATGAAGCTTAACATTTAAGAACTTCTAGTCTCTTTGTCCCTTCAGAATAAATAGCTCAGCTAATAAAGAAACACAAAACCATGCATATGACTCACTACTTAAGCTTATTATGAAGTAGGGAAAACAATACTGAAATATATGAACTTTTAAGTTAGAAAACTGTTTGAATTCCAGGTTCCATGCTAACAAATGCAAATGAAGTATCAGATCTACAGCACTCAATTTCTGCGTATTAAACAGATTGCATATGAAAGTGAATGATAATTACAGCTACCAGTCCTACACTGCATGGGTACAGCCAGTAATTCTGGATCCAGATCTTAAGAAAAAAGCTGAAGCCTCAGCCATTATAGTAATAGAAAAAAAGTATACTTTTAATTTTTTACATGCATCTCTGAGCAAGCTTTTTTAATATAAGATTTAAAAACAAACAAAAAACCTCCAGCAGCTCAGCTTCCTAGATCCCATTACAAAACTGTGGGAATGCAGAGCCTATTTGTCTATGGAATTCTCACATGGGTCTTAGTTGGCACTTGGTTTCTAATCCCACGGAGGCCTACGTTGCTCATTTCACCTGACTTGTAAAGAATTTCATAAATAAGCATCCCATCACCCATTTCACTTCTATCCGATCTCGATTTATTTCCCTCAGATAATGCTTGGCAATAGCCTGCTGCGCGACACAAGGATATACAACATACTGCAGTAGGGCTCTTTTGCTTTGAAACAGAGATCACATATTACATCTTCTACCTAAGAGCCTTAACCAGCAGGCTAGTTTACCAGAATATTAGTTGTGGGAAGCAAGGCAGCACCAGTGAATTGAATACCTTATTAGCCTGTTGGTGATGTGTCTCAGCAGGTAGGAAATACCAGTTCAATTCTACTTCAGGGAACTGAACCTGAGTTTGCTACATTCTGCCTAAGTGCCCCAACTAGACATGGGAGCATCTAGGCAAAAACAGAAACCCTAGGAAAGATCTGTCCTTAAGGTCTAGTCAGAAAAAGATATAGTATGAGAAACTGGTTGTCACAAATTTTTCAAATATAATTTAAAACTTAGTGCTGTCTGTCCTTCGAAATATGCCTTTCAAATGAAGTTACATTATTTCAAAAGTTATGCTATTAAATTACAATTCCTACATCCGTTAATAACTAAAACATTTAATCAAATTAACTAAACTACAATTCTGCCTACAGTTATGACAATAGATAGTGAAAGTCAGGTTTGAACTGAACATCAATATATACCACTTCCGTTGTATTACTCCATATTGGACAACAGTTACACATGAAAGAAGGAAAATGTATAATCAGCATGCTAGGTGCAGTATGCATTTAAAAAAAAGCAAAAATATATATATATATTTATATATCCAGAAGTAAATGTTCACTTTATCTATCCTGGGGGAAAAAAGTTCTTGCTGTGAGGAATGCTATAAGAAGGTTTGGCTGTCCAGATTTTCCACTGGAATTTCTGCTATATTGTTGAAGTCATAAAAAAAAAAAAAAAAGCCTATTTGGGAGTATTTCCTGTCTACTTTAGGCTTCTAACTTAGGTAGTCTCAGCCGTACCCTAAAGTTCTTTGGGGAGGCTAAAGAGAGTGAGGTGTCTCAGCAGGCAGTTCAGAGCACCTGCACCTTAAGTGCTATGAACTCTTTTTGGAGATACTTGCTTCTCTCTCTGAATATATAAAGATGCCTAGGTGCCTAAGTTAAATACCTGAAGTTAAGCAGTGTGAAGTACAGTTCATTTAACAGCACAAAGATTTCTTTCAAAATTGAAGAAATATTTATAAGAACTTTGCTAATATAGCTGTCATTTCAAAAAAGTTTTGTCCTGACAACTTCATTTTTATGTACCCTACTCTCCACCTTTAATTGTAGGGAAGCTCAGCAGTAGGGTGCCTGAACTTGTATGTAAAATAAGCCTTTAAAAAAAAAAACAAAAAAACAAAAAAAACCCCCACCACTTTAACCAAGTCCTCCTTCCACAAAAAAATGAAGTATTATTTCAGGTATAAATCCTTCAGTTTCTTTAGCCACTCTGCGATATCTTTGCAAGCATCTTTAGCTTTTACTATATTTGCATCTTCAGTTACCAGATTTACACTTTTTCTACTACTGCATCGTAAGTTAGGCAGGTTGTTTTCAACAACAACAAATGTTATGCAAAGTATTTTCTGTCTATCTTCATTCCAGGATTACAAGTGCATAGTCTCCATTCTTACTTGGGGATTAAGCTACTGAATAAAGTGATTGTTCTTCTGTGTACTTCCTACTTAATTTTGGTCTACTGCGATCCTTGCAGGCAGTTAGCTCAACAGCTCAGCCAGGGGAGAGAGAATAATCCAACAATTATGACTGCAAAGCTCCTACTGGGCAAGTACTGTACAATAAAACAATGAAGTTTCTTCTGTGCTGGAGCTTTAGATCCCTTTTCTCCAACTCATAACATGATTATATTTACTTTGTCTAGAAAGAGATTTCCCATAAACATATGGCTGTCTTTTACAGACTTCAATTTGCCGTGTGCTGTGGTGAGAATTTACAGCACACTGGCTGTTCTGAACTAACTCCTTACGGGGACAGTGAACACTTAACACACATAACACAGAAATAAGCATATACCAAATAAGCTTTACTTTTCTTTCTATTTTGTACTCAGTATGCATCCAGATGTTGCAGTAGTTCAGAGGGACAGAGTAGCTAGAGTACTTGACATTCACACCTTAACAGGACTTTTAATTTTCTGAAGCTTAGCACACAATAAACTAGGTTCCTTTATTAGGAAGAAACTGATTTTAATGTGCAAGAACACTTTATTTGTAACTCAAATATATCTGGTGCCCTATTGGAAAGATTTCTTTGTCAGCTCTAAGTTTGATCAATTAGCAATTTCTAAAAGTAATTCTCACTTTGTTTTAGGAGTTTCACTATTTTTTCCTCTGCTGCTTGATCTCTTTTTACCCCTACTCCTGGATCGAGAAGAACTCCGACTTCTGCTCTTACTGCGTGTTCGACTGTGACTTCTGCTGCGACTACGGCCTCTCCTCTTCCTCCCTCTGCTGCGGGATCGCCTTCTTTCTCGACTTCTTGACCTGCCAGACCGGCGTCTTTTCTTGTTTTTGCGGCTATTCTTTTTTCTCTCAGATTCTCCATTTCTCCGGTAAGAATGTTCTGGGCTAGGGCTGCCCCTTCTCCTCGACCGGCTGTAATAGTCATCACGATGGCTTGTTCTGTTTCTCCTTTCAGAGTTTTTAGACAACTGATTAGTCCGCTCAGGAGAAATACGTATGTCTCTATTGGCCTCCCAGAACTCATTGTTTGGATTTTTGAATACATGAAGAAAGTTGCAGTGTTTCCCTCTTGGACACTTCTGCCTTTCAAATAAGCCTGCAACAGATTATTATGTGTTTTTTTTTTTTTTTTTAAATCTATCCAACAGAACACAAAGGCAATTATGAACCAGGCCTAACTGTTACATTTGTTTCTGCATTATATGCCTACTGGAAAGAAACTTAATGCATTGCATTTTGCGTCTTCCAACAGAAGAACATGCACCTGAGGATCTATCAATTTAATTCATGCAAGGTTATTTTTACAGTAGTTACTTTTCTAAGTATTAACTTCCTAACGTGTATTTAAGCTACCTACTAAGGCTTTAGCTTAAAACAATTTTCATAAATAATTTTACTACCTTAATCTTCCTAAGAATGTAAATATAAAGAAGTCACATCTGATAGTTACTACTAAGAAAGGCTGATGGTTCAGAAACTGGTGCTGCATTTGAAAGAGATAAATTAGTACTTCTTGTACTTCCACAGTAGATACGCTATTATATCCAAAGCTAAGATCCAAATTTTTTCTCCCGTCCAAGATACATCCACTAGGATGACTCAGGCATTTATGTGACATGGTATGAATACTCCCTGTCCTTTCTAAATCTAAGCAAGTGTTATTTGTCTTCCAAACATAAATGAAACTGAACTGCAACAGTAGGTGGACCTGAAAGCCACAGGCCAGTTCTCTCTTTTTCAGTGAAGTCTTTCAGTAGCACCCATCCTCTTTTCCAGGTGTTTGTGACTCACCACATATAGCAGTCTTCCATCTTGTCACAGGACAAAATTCACAGTGAAGCTGTCGTCCTGCATACCATCGTCCGCTGAAAAGAGCGAGAGCTGCCTGACAATCCTTCTCCCTTTACAAAGGAAAAAAAACCAGCATGTGATATGATCACTCTGCAATCATTTAAGATGTCACTTACCAATTTGGGGCTCCCATTACAACGTGAGAATGAACTGCACAGATTATGTAAGCAACATTCATTACTGTGCTCTGGACTTTAGTTGTAAAACTCAGTAAGACTGCGAAGTACTTACGTCTGATACTGGACATACACGTTTCCTCGCAGGTGAGGCTCATAGTTGCAACTGACCTAAAGAGAATAAAATACTAAGTTAGGGCAACTGAAGGCCTATGCTCAGGCATGCTGAGTTGGCAGCCATTCTGATTTATAACAGCACAGCAATATGAACATATACATGACTTTCAGTTCTTCTGATCTGAACGCTTCATTTTAGTCAAATAAAAGGATCGAAGAAAAGCCCTTCTGGTTTATGCTTGAGTGTTTCCAGCATTTTGCTTTGATTAACATGGGACCTCTGCTTCATTTAGTCCACAAGACAGCCTGTACTCAGCTGTCTTGCATTTAAGTCTGCACCAACCCTACAGAGCAACAGCCAAATCCTGCTCTGAAAACCATTATTAGTATCATCATTAGCTTTCATGTGGGATCCGTTATGGCAAAAGAACCTTTAGAACAATTTATCTACACAGTGCCCCTGCAAGACGAGTGAGAAAAGTTGAAGTCACAACCTTTTAGTGTCCAGTTCTGAAACAACATTTCTCATAATAATTTAGTGTTCCAACTACATCTAAATCTCTTGAAAATACACAATTTTACTTCTAAAAGCTTGTTACTAATTGCCAGGGGTTCTGAGATGGGCAGGCCCAAGCAGGCTAGAACCCAGTTCTCCACGGCAAAAGTGTGAGACCAGCCTCTTTTGTCTCCAGTCTTTTTCCTATTTCTGCACCAAATGAGGCAAACAGCTTCTTCCATCACTGAACTTGGATTCACCCTCAGAGCACTGGATCAGGCAAGGCCTTCCAGGACACCAGCATGCAATTATTTAATGAAATATTACAGAACAAGTCCATGAACTATTTGAGCTAAATAACAGTGTCAACACAAGAACAAGCGAGAATGGACTTTGCCATTTGGGTGGAAAACCAGAAGACACGTGTTTTGTCAGGATCTTTCAGTGAGAATCTGCTCTCCAGAAAGAACAACAGGAATAAAACCCTGGGCTACTTTAGAAATGGAAGTCCATTGAAAGAAGGGTGCGTATAGTGTGATTCCAAATGGTAGCAGAGACTCCATTCAGTCACGGCTGAGATTCCTGCAGCCAACACACAATTTCTAAGCATCTATAATAAAATGAACAGGCTCACGAGAATCAAATTACAGTTGCACAATTACTTCAGAAGCTGAGAAATGCCACACTCTTACTTGATTAAGAGCTGTACAGACCCAAGTACATACAGCTTAATAGATATTTACGTATTGCATGCTAAAGATCACCATCAAACTCAAATCTTCAACTCAGTAAGGCAGCACTTCAACACACACTCTGTTGAGAATCTGTATACCACCTTATAGGATGGAGCATCATTTGCTAATACCTCATGAGTTAAAATAAGGAGGAGATACTCCTCCACACAAATGGAGGCTTCTTACTTACAAAGCTCATCAATACAACTAATGAAAAAAAATCACTTTTTTATTTAACTTTCTCTTGCTTGAAATGGTAATAAAATCTCAATTTTGAGGCAGTTCTCAATAGCGAGAAACAAAAGGAAAAAAGGCACTGCATGCCTCCTGGTGACTTCAGGAAAACATTCAGGAGCGGCAAGCAGAATGAGATGCTACAGTAGCTTCTGCTACAAGGATATTTCGCCATCCAAGCTACACCTTTTGGGACAACCTGGGACTATTTTTACACATCACTAATCTCTGAGGTCTTCATTTACAGGTCCCTCTTTTCCCCCCATAAGAAGTCATAATATAAATGGGAAGAATTCAGGAAAGATTCAGCAAACCAGGTGCATAAACTCGGGATGACAAATCTCAACATCGTTTACATAATATACCTTTCTGTCATACAGTCAGTTCAAATTAATTCCTGCTACTGAAATATCTACTACCTTTTCAGTTCATCCTCATCTGGGCTTTTTATTCCAGCAGTCCTAAGGCTGCATTCTTTAGATTCATACTCCAAATACATATTACACCCCCTCCCTTTCATTTCTGAAGCGCAGCCTCATATGCACTCATATGCATACCTTGAATTGAACAACCTTCCCCACGTTTTGAAACTCAGGGAGCACGTCCTCATAGAACTCCAAGAACTGCTGGTAGGTCTCCTCGTCACTGTATTCAAGACTTGCATCCGTGTCGTAGTCATCTCTCCGGCACTGCTCCATGCCGAAAGTAATGAACATTCCTCGGACGAGTAGTGTCTTACTAGATGTTGGATAGTTGTGCTTGCGAGAACACCTGGATATTTGTAGTAAAGGAAGAGCAATGGAAAATGTTCACTTTCAGCAAAAACTGCACCTGTTAAGATTGCAAACACTTGCCATTTTGAATAACAGTTTTGGATTACAAAAGATTATTCATTAGTAGACAGCTGCCATATTTCAATTATTAAAATAGGTTTTCCAGAAGTAAATTTCCACATAATCTTAATGCTTTTTGCCACGCATAAAGACCTTCCTGCTTACCAAAAAAAAAAAAAAAAGCAGCATTGGTCTGCAAAAACTATAGACTCGAATAATATATGAAGAATCAAAGTAATTTCTTCTTAGGCTACTAGGCTTGAATGTCTTCCCCATGTCTGAAAGGCTTTATGAAAATATTACTTTTAACATATTTTAAAGAAAGTCCTTGCTCTTTTATTAGCAAATTAAACAACTTTTACTGAAATTGTTCTTATCAAATTTGCAAGGCGGGGGAGGGTCTAGACCTGAAACTGGATCGAGCACCAGATGAATTTTTTCCACTTTTTAACAAATATTTGTTATGAAGAAGTCTTAATCTGCATCTTCCTGGCTGCCACAGAAGTATTAGAGCTCCTTTATTCCGTATCATCTTCAGGCTACCTCCCTCACATGCTTAAAAACAGTTCTTCCCCACAAACCTTTAGATTTAGTAAGAACAGAGATGTTAGCCTCCCTGTTTATGTCATCGTGTTTTATAATCTCAGTTTCAAACACTTCCCCCAAGTAACTGAGTCATGCACTCTTTAACACATTTTGCTTTTCACGACACGATCAGAACAACAGTCAGACTAGTCTACCCTCTCATCTAGCAGTGGCAAAGCATAGACAACTGGGGGGAAATCAGGTCCTGAAACGGGCTATTACTGCCTAGACTTCAGATAGAAAATTTCTTCCCGCATCTAGTCAGTCAGAAATTGACTCACGCTTTTCAGTTTACAACTTAAGTGCTCCAAAAAAACATGAGACAATTAATTTGATTTTAATTTTAAAAATTACCTTATTTCAGTGTTCTAAATGGATTATAGAACTCAAAATACTATATCCAACCAATATTGTCAGTACACAGAATGACAGAACTGTAGCGCATAACGAATAGTGCATGGCAGAACAATAGCAACCCCAAGGAAAATGAGGCCAAAACAAGTATTGTTACAAACTATTGGAGTCTGAGTTACTCAGGAAATTAATCGAGATGAACTCAGACAGCTTTACCTTCCTCAAAACAGAGTTAGCTTTGATGAGATTCAACAATTATTTTATTGATAACACTGGCGCTGAATTATCATCATTCTTGTCCATTCCAGCTTCCACCCCATCCTCCAGTCCTTACCCTAGCTGTGTCTCAGGTCATCAACTTATGGTTGATGCCAGAGGCTGAAATGACCATAATATGAAAGGAGCACGTGAGGAGGAAGGACAGTGAAGGAGAAGGGGTTGAAATCAGCTAGCAACTACAGGCAAGAGAAACAGGGCAGAACATGATGTTTCTCAGTATTTATTTACCAAACCTATTCATAGTTCAAAGCAGCATTTTGAAGTAGAACTGTTTTTATCCAATTCATAATTAAGTCAAGGAAGTTGTCTCCATTAAATAGTGCCAAAACAGAAACACTACAGAAATGACAAAGAACTAAACATTACAAGCTGGACAGCAAAAACACTGTCTGCAGTGAAAGAGCTGGCTTAAGTTTTGTTTAGGAATTCAGTCCGTATTTCAGAACGGAAATCAGATATAGACTTGAAGCTTCCATGGAGTTAAATTATCACATAATTATCCATAATATAGATCTCTCTAGAACAAATCACTTTTAGGATAAAGAATGCTACAATACATGGACCACACACATTTCAGCCATACGAGTTAATAAAAACGGCCTTATGAGTTTATGCTCAAGGTTCATCTAGTAAGTGTTGCAGTCTTGCCTAACTGAGATATTGTTCTTCCTTAACACACAAATTCAGGGACTTCCTAGCCAGATGTTGCATTAAGGTCAGCATCTTTAATGGTCCCTGATGAACCTGTACTCCATGAACCTATTTGTACTTTTAGCCTCCATCACAAATTTTGTGACAGCAAGTTCTGCAATTATGTTACATGTGAAAAAAGTACTATCTTTTAAGCTGCTAAAAGCTCAGGGACAGCTAGTTAAAATGTTTCATAAAAAAAGCGAATAATCCTTCCCATCCTATTCATGAGTTCAATGTTCTTCTACCACATCAATCCTCCATCATCTCTTCCAAAGTGAAACGTCTAGACTCGTCAGTCACTCCTCCTACAGAAGCTGTTCCTCATCTCTGATCATCTTGTTTTCTTTTTCTGTTCTTACCTTCTACTCTAGTTCCTTTTTGAGATAGGGCAGCCAGAACTCTATACAAGATTCAAGAATGAATGTATCACAGACTGGCACAGCACACAAATAGGAGAATTCTGGAAGTTACACAACAACTTTTGCAACTGTGCAGTCATATGCTAATTTGCTCTGGTCAGTTTGTATGTGTTTTTTTTTCCCCCTCCTCCTCCTTTTTTTTTTTTTTTTTAAAAAAAAAGATGTGGTATATGCAAATCAGTCAAGACAAAAAAACATCTGACCAGTTCATCTGATCAGTTCCCTCAGGCCAGCATGAACAGCAGAAATCAAATATATTCTGACTGAATGTATCTGTGCATCTGCCTGAGTTGAAGGAAAAGCAGTTTGACCAGTGGAATAAGAATGTATTCTCAATATGCCATAATAATAGATGCTTTAATTCCAGGCAAGCAATGGGTTTGCTCTCAAAATCTAGTTCCAGAATGGATATCCCATCCAAATACACAGCAGTAATTTATAAAGCAAGATTTCTTCAGTTTGCATATAACCTAATAGAGTTGCCTCCCATTCATTCTTCCAGAACATTTTTATGCTGGTAAATATTCAGTTGATTACCTGTCTCCAAATCGGCAGGACCCTGTTTTAATATAGAACGGGCAATTCGCTCTATCCTTCTCTGTTCCTATATTCTCTGGGGGTTCTGGGTTATGCCAGGTAATACCATTCTCCAGCTGTGAAAAAACATTAAAACACACACAAGTTAGACAAGAATGAAGAAATGTAATGACAAAGCAAAAATATCAACTAAATCCACATGCAATTATGAGTACTCCTTTACTATAAAGGCAAGCTTGAACCTATTTAAGCATTGTTTTACAAAGCTGTCCCATGCCTCAGTTCTCTGGCAATGGAAACCTTTTTTCTTGATAATTGCTCAGTTTTAAGAACAAGTCTATATTTATAATTTCACTAAATTGAATGTTTTCTTTTGCTTAAGACAAACTTTCATAAGATTCTATAACCACCACAGTGATGATAATATTTGCTCCTCAAATAACAATTTCATTCATCATCTACGAAAATTACAAATACTGGGACAGATTCTTTCCATTCGTCCAAGTTTGTTAGTTACTTCATTCCAGTAGTCACCTCTGAGTAGCAGTGAATCCACAGGGCAGATGGAAGGCTGCGACTATTTCTTATTTGTCTTTGCAACAACTCAAAGGTCAGTACAGTTATCACTAACACTTTATGCAAATAGGAAAGGCTAAGAAAAAAGTAACCTGCTAAAGGTCAGAATTAAAACAACAACAACAAAATAAATTCCTCTTTAGTACTGTAGTTAAAAGCATCTATACTGCTTATCTGAGGCCATTAGATTAAGATTTCTGAAATTCAAATTGTGATTATCAAGTTGCAAGCATTGGCTGACCACAAACAAAACTGAACACAGACCTTAAAAAGGGAATAGTCATTTTATTAGCCAAAAGACTTATAAAGCTGAGCAGCCTAAGTTCTCATTCCAAATCAACTGAAAACTGTCAGTCAACATTTGAGCCTGCCACCAGGCTCATTATTCTCAACCATAATTTCCTCTCAACAAACCAGCACTGTCACTTCAACAGTGTGAAAAGTAAGTACCTGAACCCTTGAAGCTTTATATGAAGACTAACAGATCACATCTCTTATCTCCACTTGCAGGAATGACCACTTATATATTTTGAGCTCTGGGCAGTTCATACTTCAGAGCAGTTGTCTACTCATATTACAGAGTAAAACAACTGTTTAATCACAATTTGGATCTCAACACAATTCCAGTGCAGTTAATGGCAAGCAACAAACAATTTGTAACTAGGGTAAAACTTTATTTTCAGATTCATGCAACAGTTTAAGCAGAACAAAAATCTACATAAATTTAACCACATGACATGGATAAAAAGTCAGGTTATTCTTTAAGGAAAAAAAGACAGACTAATTCAACCTCTCTAATATTCAAAAGAAGATGACTGCAGTTTTCCTTACTGCATGCTGCCAGCTTGGGATCCATGCTCTTCCAAGCACCCAAGCAGTTAGCGTGCTCTCTCTCATATTTATTTCAAAAAAAAAAAAAAGAGGAGCTGTGCCCTCCTCTGCTGCTGAATACTTAGATTTGAGCCTGCCATCTGCTTAAAAAGCAAGCTATCCTGCCACCCAGAAGGACTGGCAGATTTATTTAGCATTCTAACTCACAAATACATCATGATGCCTAGTTTTTAAACAGCATACAAAACAGAATTTCCAGGTTCATTTTAGACTCAGAACTCCTGAGCTGGAATAAGCAAGCGTTCACAACTGCATAGCCACCAAACAGCCAGAAATACATTTAATTATGTTACACCTAATGAATACATTAATTACACCTAATGCAAACCACTACATATTAAGTTTGCTGAGGCCACTAGGTTCTTCAGAGCAGATGTTAGAAGGCAAACACCAGGTAGCAATTAAATCATTTTCCACTTTTTTTGGAAACGTCTCTGAACGTACCTGGCTTTCAGCTTGATCCAGCATCTTCTGCACAGCTGCCTATAAATGGTGCAAACACAGGACTAGTGAAAACCCTGAGGACACGCAAAACATCTGGTTTCTTTAGTTAAGAACCTAATTTGCAATACTGATTGCACATAATGAAAGTTTGATGAGTTTTGCTTTAAAAAATGGAAATTTTACTTTTGCTCACCTCACACACTACAAAGCTGTTAAAGGATACATCTGACAACTTTCACGTGGAAGAATTTTTTAATCCAAATGCTAGAGAACTTAAAAGTTGCATTTTCTCTCTTTTTTGAGCTATCACTGAACTACTCAATACTTAAATGTACCTTTTGCACGAATACTATATTTAATTAAATACATAATCATTCAGTTGTGCGAAACTTCTTAACTTAGAGCATTTTGTAACACAACGAAAACATGTTGCTTACTGAGCCTCTGTTAAAGCAAACTGAGTAACTGTTAGGAAATGCTATCAGAAACCTGGTAAGTTTTACTTCATCTAGTCTTGCAAATACTGAAGGAAGATGAGAGGATATGCCTTCCCTTCCCTCCTCTAAGTGAGATGAACAAAGCAATAAAGTCACTTTCCAGGACTAACTTGAAATCAGTTCTAATCAATTTATTCTAGGAAGTTCCAAAAACAAAGACATTTATACAAAAGCAACACAAGAAAGTGTACTAGCATTATGCTAATTTGGAATAGAATTAATTAAATTAATTAACAAAGAGGAAGACCAAGTAGAAAAAAAAAGATGGAATCCAAGATGAGGACCCAGAGAGCATCTGGTACTAATCATCATGTACGTCAGATATTATCTATGCTATTAAAAAACAGAAAATCTGTTTTGCTGTATTAGGAAGGAAAAAAAGACTTTTATAAATCAATAAAATTAGATTTGAATAAGATGCTGTTTCATGAGACAGGACTAATCAATTTAACAATTCTTGGCTGCTGAAATGGGTGGCTACACTCCCAGCTGGGCCACAGCCTGCCTCTGGTTGCTTGTCAATGCCCTCCACGAGCCCATTTAGCTTACTAAAGCAGCAACCTAAGTCATCGAGGGGGAGAAAAAACAAAACAATAAAAACCACAGAAAGCAGCTTCCACCTCGTTCAAGGAACCAATTAGCTCACTGAGGGATCAGGCAAATCCAGACAAAAGGAGAGGAAAGGAACAAAATCCCACTGTTACTGTGGTTCAGCTCTCTTCTAACCACATCTCAACCTTAAATAAAGGATGTAAACATTATTTTCTCTCCCTAGTCTGCAAAGAGAGAAAGGGACACTTAACACAAGAGGAAGAAAGACAGGAAATGCAAAAATTGCTGTTCTTTCTCAATCATAAGGGAAGCGTTATGTAACCAGTGACACCGTGAATTATGAAATGAAGGAGAGAATAAATACTCTTCGGTCATTTCTTTTCTCCTATTGTGACTAGGACAAGGAAACTGGGGAACCCAACTAGCATTTTTAGCAAGACATCTCCAACAGAAACAGCTAGAACTTTGTATCTTTTGTAGCTGTGCAGAAGCTAATGAGACAGATCCTAGAAAGCTGCAAGCCCCCTTATTGATGATAGGCCAGTCTTCACTTTGGATTTTTGTACATGGCATCTCACATCCCAGTCATTCAAATTCTAAAACTTAAGAAGAATGTTGAATGCATAGTTAACAGAAATTTCATCAATGACTAATATCTTCAGTATAATTTTCTTTCCCACCCAAGGAGCTCTTAAAAAAAAAAAAAAAAAAACCAAAACCCAATAACAAAAAACCCAACATCCTGTTCAATGAGTCAGGTAAAGGAGCTGCAAGAACTATTAAGAACCATGTTAAGGAACAGTTGCAATGTAATGCCATATTCCATATCCTCATCAGGAATTTTCTTCAACGCTGATTATGTTCACATAGGACATTAAATAAGGACTATCTTTAACACAAAATGTCAAAAGGGCAGATATCAGAATTTGCATTGGCAATGCACCTTCATGTTTAGCTGATGTAAAAAACTACAGAGGAAACATCACAAGTAACCAGATGCATTAAAATTAGTAATCCTTCCAAGTATATGAATACATTAGATTCACCTATATGGATGAAGTATATTTTCAGCAATTTAGACAGAATGGAGACAGGAAGTAACTAACGCATTTATGCGTTCACTAATTAAAATAAAATGCCTCTTTATCAGATGCAAGAGTCTATGCATGTTGATGTGAGAGGATATGTAACATGTTTATCCTCCCACTGCAGGAATCACCTCTCTTTCTTTCCTCTGTTGTTGCTTCTGCTGTGCCACTTCTCTCGCTTTTCTTTGCTGTTCTTCCCATTCTTCTCTGATCTTTCTCTTTAGGAAAAAATATAGAAAACAAATGAATGCTTTATAATCACTGTAGCCAAGTTCAAAACTATCACATTGAGTTATAACTCCTTGATCATCAAGTTTTCATTCAGCCTTAAGTAAACAAATCTCTAGACAAAAAGCTTTGTGAAGAACCTTTTTTAAGAAAAAAAAAAATAGCCAGAAAATTCTTAATTTTGCTCTTCTGAAGTGAAAAAAATGAAAGAAGAGCAGCTTCTACTTTCAAACATATCAACGTAAAGAAAACTAGGTCTGCTAAGGAAAAGTAGAAGGTATTACACTGAATTTTCCTTACTGCCAGACACAACTAATTCTCAGTCTATACATCACCTCTTCTTCTTCTTGACGTTTTCTTGCAGCTTCTTCTTTTTCTTTCTTAAGCTTAAACTCTTCTTGGGCCTTTTCTTCTCTTTGCAGCCACTGCTCATGTAGTTTTTGTCTGCCAACAAAACCAGATACCACTTAGTGGGGACTATCCACAATCTGTGCAACTGTTGCACATACTTTCATGTGACAAACTAAATAACCAAAATACGCAATTCAAATGTTGTAATTCAGCATTAACTGAAGCTTATCTGATATTCCGTAAAATAAGAATTTCTGTGGGAAATGTTAAGACTTTCAAAAAACGGTACACTTTAAAAATACAGAAAATAAATTCTGTTTTACAGAGTACGTTGTAACTTTTTAATTTATCAAAATGCAATTGACTGCAAACTTATCTACTGCACATATTTTAGCTTCTAGATTTTTGACCTTTCTGCAGGAAGTTTTTTTTCTTCTTCTTCTTCTTCCTCCTCCTCCTCCTCTTCCAGTTCCTCCTCCTCTTCCTCAGACACTGATTCATCTTTTTCTGTAGCTTCTGAGGAGAAAAAAATCCCAAACAACAAAACATGAAAAAAATTCGCTACCAGTTCAACTGACAACACAAAATCCAAGAAAATACACGTTACGCTTACCTGAATCTCTCAGTTTGGCAAGTGCCTGCCGCTTTTTTTTCCGCTTTTCTTTCTTCAGAATAGCTCTGTATTTTTGATGGCTGAAGATGACAGAATATTTTTTATGTTGCAAGAGCCAAAGAATTTCGTTGTCATAAATGCACTCAATTACATCAGCAATATAAACCCCCAAACTGTAAAATTAACAAACAACCATACGAAATAGTAATTCCACAGGGATATCAAACCTTTCAATAAAATCTGTGGCCAAGCCTGTTAGCACTGCATGTGAATAGCAGCAGCTGGCCCTGGTTTCTGAAACTTGGTCACTAGATGAGACTAGCAACAAAAATTTTAGGATTGCCTAATCCTGAAGCTTTGACATCTTTTTCAGCACATTCTAGTCTTCCTCTCTTCTACAGGAAGTATAAAATTCTAAATGTCTATCTAAGGCAAAAGTCCTTGGTATCTTGATACCGTTCATATTCTCTACAGACAGCAGTCTTAATGTATACAGATACCAAAAGCACACATACCAATCATCATAGATAATTTTCAAGATTTTTCCACAACTGAATCTTGGCCAGACTGATCCTTGCCTGTCTGACAACTCTCCAAGGGCCGCCTACAAACAGCACTATGCTTTTATTAGAGCTATAACTTCTCAAGGTATCTAAAAGCCTCTTTATGTCAATGCGGTTTCTGTCATTTTTCATTCTAGCTCTCTTCTTTCTCTCCAACTTGTAATAGAAGAATAGGAAGGAGGGATTACCTTCAACTCTTCTTATTCTGCCATCCCAAATGTGCAAGTAAGATCAAAAATCTCACCATTTCAGATTACGTAACTTCAGGAGATTCCATAGTTATCGCTCAGGAAGCCAAGAACTCGCACCCACAGCTCTATCCCTTCCACTCATGGTTACCCAGAAAGCCACCACCTGCACAACTGTGTCATTAGTGACACTGTGGTGGTCCTCCAGGAACCCGAATGCTTGCCCTCAAAAGGCAACTGCTCTTTGTACGCGCTACCTGCATCTGAGCCTCCAGCTTGGATTCAGCAAGACTACTGACTCATCCCGTAGCGTCAACTGCCCAACAGGAATCTCAGCCCCTGAACCGAGTCCTGCATCTAAGGAGAGAGCTGACCTCCTTCCCGCTTCCCAGGCTTTCTTATCAGCTACCGAACCGCAGGAAAGAAGAAGGGAAAGCAGTTCTTCTCCAGACCTGGGTCACGGCACCACATGGGGCCAACTGCTGAAAGGCAAGGAGGAAAAGCCTCCGCACCGCGTCAGGGCTCAGTCTCCTCTCCCTGTACAGCACGGGCGAGCAAGGCCACGCCAGCGAACGCAAGGCTGGGCGGCCTGCAAGGGCCGGGGAGGCGGCGGCGG